ACTGCACAGGGAAATGAAGCTGCAGTTAGAATCAGGAGAAGAGAGGCAAGTTTGATTTGGGGGCTACCTGGCTGTGGCTGCCACCGAGGGTCCTTGGCTTCTCTGAACGTATTTCCAGGCATGGACGGTGAGAATGACATCACCCAATTGCCGGCTGCTTGGGGGATGACAGGAGGTGTAAGGAGCTCGGAGGGAGCACTAACACTGAGCTCCCCAAGGCCAAGGCCCCCTACCCCCGGGATTCTCGTCTCCACTCACTGTCCTGCAGTAGCAGCAGCTTGCTCTCTGGAATCCTCTTCTACAGGCTGAACCTTGGTTGCTGTCATGAGAAAGGAGCTCAGCTTGTCCAGACAGGATCCAGCCAGCGCAGCCCTTCCTAGCCTGCAGACTCCTACCCTGCCCGGATGGAGGCTGCACCTCCTCCAGCTGGAGGTGGTGGGAGGGCTGCTGGGCCCACAGGGGCGCCGTCAACACCCTCTGCCAAACTGGGGATGGTCAGAGCCAGCTCCAGAGTCCTAGAAGTCAGAACAGGGAGGAACCCCGAGATACTGTACCTGACCTGCTCCCCCATCCAATGACGCAGTTTAATGACGCAGAAACCACCAAGAGAGGGTGGCCACTTGACTGAGGTCACCTGGGGTGCTAAGGCTGAAGCTGTTTCATCTGCTGCACCAAGGATACTTGGGCTTGGAAAGCTACCTTTTCCCTCCTGCTCATGAAGGGGAGGAGGGACTGGTGGAAGTGGGGACACCGCTGGCAACTCCAGGCCCTTTTCTGGTCTATAGTGCTGCAGCTCGGGCTTATTCGCTCACCTGTTCTCACCTCCCAGCCTTCGCTCAGGCTGTTCCACCCCTCCAGGCAGCCCCTCCCCATACACCTTCTGCTTCTCACCTGATGTCTACCCCTTCAGATCAGATCACAGGCTCCAACCGTCCCCTGGGGCCACGCCCTCCTCCCATGTGCGGTCTGGGTGGGGCCCGGACCCTTTCATGCGCTAGCCCTCCAGGGCTCAGACCTGAGCCTTTACAATGCTTTTAACATTTTATTTTGAAAATAATTATAGACTCACAGGAAGCCAAGAGCTTTTTAAGAGTTCAGAAAATATTTGAGACCTGAAGAAAAAAACGTATTGGCTCCAAAAGACTAAAACTGCAAAGCTGAAATTAATAAATGTTTACTGTACTCAATGAAATATTTACTTGAGCAGTCATAAAAATTTCATTACATTTGAAAACAACTTTGTAAGTTGGGTTTTCGTACTTTAAAAGTGTTTCCAAGTATTCCTAGAGGTCAGTCAGTCCTAAATTAGGTCCCAGTAGCCAAAGGATGCCCAAAAGTATAAAAATACTTTGAAAAGTAAACATGTGTTTAATGCGGGATGTGGGTGGATTTTAGTGTTTTCTGTGATGTGCCTGAGGCCTATCAGGAGGGTTTTTGGCTACAAGTAGCAGAAAGCTCAAAGGAAATTGCTTTAAAATTAAGGAAAACTTAACTTTTCATATAACAAGAAGTCTGGAGCTAGGGGGTTTCCGCGGCAGGTTAATTCAGTGGCTCAATGAAATAATCAAAGATCGAGGTTCTTGAGTAATGCTGGATTGCGGCCCTGCGTGCTGTTAGGAGACAGAAACTAAGGAATTTGGGGTGAACTGTGTTAACATCTGTAATATACTCTCAAATGGTTCAGTTAAAAATGGTTCAGCCTGAGGCCGGGCGCGGTGGCTCACGCCTGTAATCCCAGCTCTCTGGGAGGC